GACCCCCTGAGTTGGGCTATCGGCCTCCTGCCTAACCACTACCTCCTGCTGGAGGGCCCGAAGCCCGTTAAATGAGGAGGATCGAGGTCATTCTCCTCGGGGTGTTCATGCTGCCTGATCCTACCGATGGAGTGCTCCTGGTCCGACAGGTAGTGCTAGTAGTACTCTTCCTCGTACTCCTCCTCCTTCTTCTCATGCTAATAGTACCACTCCTCCTCCTCCTCCTCCTCCTCCTCCTCCTCCTCCTGGTGCTGGTGCTGGTGCTGGTGCTCCTCCTCCTCCTCTTCTTCTTCTTCCTCTTCGTCTTCCTCCTCCTCCTCTTCCTTTCGACGTACCTTGGGTGAAGTACAGGAGGCGACGACATGGCCGGATTGACCGCAATTGAAGCAGCGAGCAACTTGACCCTTGCGAGTCGGTGCAGCCTGAGGGAGACAAGAAGAGGGAGGAGGAGAGAGGAGAACGAGAAAGAGAAAGAAAGGGAAACAGGAGAAGCAAGAGCAAAACAAAAAGAAGTCAGAAGAAATCAAAAGCAGATTGAGGTGCGGCAAAAGAAAAGAAAACACTTTGTCAAAAGAAAGCAATTCATCAGAACATTCGGGACATACGGGAGTGGAAACAGATGCATCTGAACCAAAAACAGTTAGAATCAACAACAACATGCAAAATCCACATTAACCTTCTGTTGACGACTCAGCGTCTCCCTCGGCCTTGCTGCCCTTGCCCTTGCTCCCTGACCCTGGCGTGCCCGCTGCCGCCGTCGTCGTACGCTGCTGCTGCTGCTGCTGCTGCTGCTGGGGCTTGCCTGGTGTCTTGGCGGGCCTCTCCTCCTCCTCCTCTGACTCCGAGCTCTCCCCCTCTGACTCCTCCTCCTCGTCGTCGTCTGACGTGTCTGGCTTGGCGGCGGCCTTGCTGCCGCCCTCCTCTACCTCGGCGATGCCGTGCTCCATCCTCACTCGCTTCATCACTCCGACCAGGAAGCCGCTCACGTTGTGGATGGTTCTCGGGTCCTTCTCGACCAGCTTGCTCATCACCTCCAGCCCCACCTTCTCCGGCAGCCCCAGCAGCTGCTTCCTCGCCCCCTCGTCGATCGCCCCCCGCCTCAGCGTCCCGGCCTCCTCCAGCTCTGCGATCCTCGCCTCTACCGCCCCGGCCCCTCCTCCTGCCTTGGCCTTGCTGCCCTCCCCGCCCTCGGCCTTGCTGCCCTTGCCCTTGCTCCCTGACCCTGGCGTGCCCGCTGCCGCCGTCGTCGTACGCTGCTGCTGCTGCTGCTGCTGCTGGGGCTTGCCTGGTGTCTTGGCGGGCCTCTCCTCCTCCTCCTCTGACTCCGAGCTCTCCCCCTCTGACTCCTCCTCCTCGTCGTCTGACGTGTCTGGCTTGGCGGCGGCCTTGCTGCCGCCCTCCTCTACCTCGGCGATGCCGTGCTCCATCCTCACTCGCTTCATCACTCCGACCAGGAAGCCGCTCACGTTGTGGATGGTTCTCGGGTCCTTCTCGACCAGCTTGCTCATCACCTCCAGCCCCACCTTCTCCGGCAGCCCCAGCAGCTGCTTCCTCGACCCCTCGTCGATCGGCCCCCGGCTCAGCGTCCCGGCTCCTCAACTCTGGGATCCTCGCCTCTACCGCCGCGAGGCCTCCGCCTGGCTTGG